TATAACCGTTCGGACTATATCCGACAAAGATAAATTGTTTGCTACGTTCATCCAGCTTCTTCAATTGTCCTAGTTCCTTGGAGTACACTTTACATCCGAATACGCGGCAATTAGACAAATCCGGCATCCTATCCATCCAGAGTTGATAAAGCGTAGTCTGTAATGACTCAGTCGGACTTCTGTTCAGAATGTATGCCGCTACTCTGACTGCTTCTCCCCACATTTCTTTCCCAAGACCAGAATCGAATATCATGGCCCGTGCTTTTTCAAGTAGAGTTCTGTTCAATCGCTCAGCTCTGCCATTCTGTTGTGGAGTGTAGGGCACTGTGAAGTTTGATACCTCTCTGTCTGCAGTACGTTTTTATTTTATTATTTGTATACTCGGTACCGTTGTCACATCTCAGTTTACAGACCTTTGTTTTCCACTTCGTTTTCACTTCTTCCACGTATTCTTTGAATCTGTCAAATACTTCAAATTTTCTCTTCATAAGATAAACCGACGTGTGGTGTGTATAGTCATCCAGAAATGTTACGATGTATCTATTGCCGTCCCAAGTGATTGGGTCAATCGGTCCGTAAACGTCTGAGTGTATAATTTCTAACGCTCCTGTCGCTCGGGTTCTCTCCTTATCAAAAGGTTTTCGCGTCTGCTTCGCTCGCATGCACACGTCACACAGATCGTTCTCTTCTTCAGGTACGTCCTTTCCCTTCACTACTATTCCCTGAGACATTTTTTGTAATTTCTTCAGTTGAGCACTTCCGATATGAGCAAGTCTTCTGTGCCATCGCTCCAACGAATTCCTCTTTTCCGTACACAACGCATGTCGTTCTTCCAAAGAACTTCGTACTTCATATAAACCGCCGGTGTTTTGTCGATCTCGTATGTACGTGGTGTTTTCCTTTTTAATAATTGCTTCCGTTTCTTTGAATATTACTTCTCCACCACGGGAAGTAATTGCGTTCACTGATAATAAGTTTTTAGTTAATTCCGGAACATAAAGTACATCGTTTAGTATGCAATTATCTAGATCCACTTGGCCGATACTTTTTGCTCTCATTGTTTTCCCTTTCTTGGCTAAGGTTATCTCTGTATCTATTCTCTTCCTGTTTTTCAGCAGTGAAATATCGTTCACCATATGTGATGTGGAACCGGAATCAATAACCCACGAGGTCGAATCGCTCGAGCACGGTCCTACCATGAAGGACACTTTCCTGTTTTCATATTTTTTGCCTTTGTCTTTGCGAAAATAGCAGTCTTTGTCCACGTGATTTGTTTTCTTACATATTGAGCAACCTAGCGTGTTTTCTCTACAGTTTTTAGCAATGTGACCCGACTTCTTACACTTGAAGCATCTAATGTCAACAGTCTGTTTAACTTTGCACGACCTTGCTACGTGACCAGGACGACCACATTTATAGCATTTCCTTTCCGCGGACTAAAAGGTCACGGCAGAATCATCTTTCTGATCCGCCGTAAATCTGTTCTTTTCCGCGATCAATCTCGCAGTAAGGTTTACGAGAGTCATCTCGTCTTTATTTGACGATTCCCATGCACTCAAGAAATAGCCGTAGTTCGAGGGTAACATAGTCAACACTTGCGAAATTAATGTTAGCTCATCTATGCCGTGTCCTAAGAACTTTAGTTTCACCGCGAGGTTTTCAAGATTGCTTACGTTTGTCGACATGTCGACCGTTTTATCGTGTTTGTACGAAAAAAATTCCCTCAGCAATACGAATTTCTGCTGTTCCGAGTCGCGTTCACATATGGCACACAGTTTCTCGAACATTACTTTCGACGTCCCGCAATTTAATATGTGTATTAGCGCTTTTTTTTCTACCGTGGAAACTATTAATTTTCTAGCTTTTGCATCTTTTACCTTCCATTTCGCCAAGGCGTTTTCTTCATCAGGCGCTGGTTCTGCTCCGGTTACTACACCGTACACCTCCTTGGCTTCGAAGGCCACCGTTAGTTGAAATTTCCACAGGTGGAAGTTGTCCTTGTCGGTAAGTTTTTTGATTTGTCCGATTTCCAGAATTTCAGCTGCAGCCATCTCTCTTCTTTCGCCGGCCCTCTTCGCACGAGATCTTCTACTTCACGACTCTAGTCTTTATTCACTCGATTCCGGTTTTACTTTTTACTGCGACCGCGATCTTACGACTGTTCTCACAGTTACTTTCTTCGTCTTTATGCTCTCTGTCTTTACGGATGTCTTCTCTCTCACTTTTACTCTCTGTTCAGCACCTAGGCCCATAACCTGTTGGATTTTTGGAGCAGCCACGTGGGTTTTCGTGCAGGTAACATGAAGCAATTGCACACGTTTCGGTTTTTCAAGCAATATATATTTAGACAAATAAGAAAGATAGAAAACACAACTACACACTTGTGCGTATTTTGTTACACGGCTGAGTCCGAAGCACGCTGAAAGAAAATGATCGTCACGGTCGCATGTCCTGCCGGTCCGACATTCCGAGAGAGAGAGTGAGCCTCTCCTTTTGCCGGTAAGCTCCGCGCTCCTCTGCTCCGATTTCAGCGCCCTGCGCCTGCGCAATCATCTGAAGCATCCGAGTGTTCCGGCGCTCGATTTGAAATTGGCTTTACTTTTTCCTTTTTCCAACAGGTATAAAAGTTCTGTAGCTCATACGTACAAAAGTAGCTTGCCCCCTTCGGATTACAGGAACAAATAATACAAGACCTTTTGAACTACGATTGAAAGTGTTATGAATTCTATCGATCCGGGATCTAGGGGAGACACAAACGGGGCTGGACACTGGGATGAGATTAACGAAACGTATATTCTTGACAAAATTTACACCGTACTCGTGGTCGCGTACAACAAGAAGTCCGGACCGTAAGGCCCCGTACTACTAATGGCTACGTGTGCTGCCGAACGCAGCGCCGAGCGCTAGCGCCCTCTGTGGGTTGCCAGCGGCACTCTATTATACATAAAAAGTGCGCGAGACATAAAAAGGGACTTTCTACAGAAAGCTTAGAAAAAGGTTTATCGTTCCAACTGCAATTTATGGTAATTCGCACGCTTAGCTAACGTAAAGACAGCAAAAATTGCGTCTAACAATAAGTGCCGGATTTTTCAAGAGATGGCACTTCAATAAGTTAGATAAGGACATTCCACGTATTTGAATGAGACCAAAAGATATTGTAAGAAGTTCATTTAGAGATACCACTGACACTGAAGCGTCTGCTTTATCGACTTCGTACAAATTTGGCCGACCTTTCAGCATCCTCTTAATAAAGTGACCAAAATCATCAATGGGATCTTAATGAAGCAAAAACTTGGCGTGCCCAGATTGCATTAATTAATAAAATGTATATAAAATGCAGGTATGCCAAGTTTTGCTTGCTACTTTTATTTTCTGTTGCGGTTAATTCCTTTAACCCTTATGTGCACAACCGGGTACCCGTGTATCCACCGCGCCATATTATTGCTCATAACTTGATTAAAAATTGAAATATCGATTTGTCCCTCCGGATCCCCATTATTTAACTCTTTTAGAATATAAAACCACCAACATAATATTTTTTTTCAATTTTTTTAACCTAAACTACATGACTTTATTACATGTACATAATGGGCACAACCGGGTACCCGTGTATCCACTAG